TTTTTTTCCCACTGATAAAAGCAGATCCTGTTTACACTGGTTTCCTCCCCGTGACCTGCCTCCATACATTGCAATGGGGACTGACCCTGGTGTGGAGCAGGGGCTCTCCCTCAGCTTCTTTCTACTGTACACAGGAAATATTTCCTTGGAGTGTGTTTATCCATGATTTTTCAACTTTTCTTTCTTAAAAAAAAAAAAAAGTTATTTTAAAGGGCAGTCCAAGTGGACAGTGGAGTGATTTAACTGATGCTGTCAGAGCATGGGAGATCTGTGAATACACTGGGTATGAGAGTGTACAAAAAATATTATAGCATATTTGTTCCTTAATTTTCCTTGACAATAATTGCAGGAAATGGCACATTTTTGATCTTTCTTATTTCTTTCATGCAGTCTCTTCTTCTTTAAAATTTCATCCTCCTTCCTTGAGCTGGGTTTTTGACCCTGCTGGGAACAAACAAACTGGAAAATACAAGAAAACAGGAACAAATACTGCACCAGGACAATGTTCATAAGGATGGTTTTGCCTAAAATAACCCGCCCCACAAACTCTTTACTGCTTTATAAATGTGAATTAAAAAAAAAAAACAAAAAAAGCCCAAACACCCAACACTTGAGTCCAAATTACTCATTTTCCTTATGTTTTGATGAAAACATGTCAACCACCAAAATGAAGGATCGTTTTTCACTCGGGTGCTAAACTCAGCATGGGATGATCTCAACCCATGGAATTCTGCAGCCATATCTTTGCAGCAACACAGATCGTTGTCTAGATAAATATATCTCATCTAATCTATCCAGTGACATCCAGAGATAAAGCAAACATGTGCCTCTCTCCAGAGCTAAGGCTGGGCTGAAGCTTCTCACGCACAGCAGGATTTTAACCACCTAGGAAGAAAAGGGAAGTTTCTCCCAAGTGACATGCTAGGAAATGCCACCTGGGTGAGGGTTGCACCTGCCCTGCATCTTGCTCTCCCTGGGTGAGCTCTCCTCCTTTCCTGCTGTCTCCAAAGACAACTTGTCCACGTTGCTGAGAGGTTTGACAGCAGGGTTTGAGCGGGATGTAGGGATGGGATATGTGAACTGAAGGGTGGGGGTAAGGCTGGGGGCTACCACCTCATGAGCTGCTCAGGATGGATGGACCTGCCCCAACCATGCTTAAAACCCTTGAGGCTGCACTGAAGCCTTTCCCCCCCCAGCCAGAACAGGGAGAGATCATGTCCAGTGCTGTCACCTCAGCTCAGCTAAAGAACATCATCAGCTCATTACGATCCTTTTACCTCCTTGCTTTTCATCTGTCTCCCTGTTTGTGTTTAAATCAGGACCATTATGGTTAATTTAAACTAATGAGGAACAGGTTTACACTGATGCACTTAAACCCAAATAAAAGTGTTGGAGTAGGTCTCTTTGGAGGAACTGAAGGGTTTGAAGTAAAAGCACACAGAGTCCTGCGAGTGCCTTGACAATCTGCTGGGCTTGAGCAAGAAAGAGGTACAGCTCCTTCCCTCTTGACATTTTACATTTCTTTCCTCCCTCTATTTTTTACACTTTTTTATCTTTTTGGGGCAGAGGTTATCCTAAGACTTAGGCAGATCAACTCCATGCACTCCAGGGTTTATAACAAGGAGAGATGTGCCCCGGGTGGAAGGTGTCTCTGCCCATGGCAAGGGGTTGGAACTAAATGATCTTTAAGGTCCCTTCCAACCCAAACCATTCCATGATTCTGTGATTCTTCCCTTGCTCTGCAAAGGAAGGTGGGCCACGGTGCATCTGCCTGCAGCATTTTCCAGGTCCAGAGGTGGGAAAAATGGATCCTGCTCACAGTCAATGCAGAACAGTGGCAGAATGATAATATCTAAGTGTGCAGGTGAGGTTGCCTTGCCTTGGTCAGAACATCCAAAAATCCTCTGGGAAGCCAGGATCAGTCTTCATTGCTTGTTCCTCTGAGGTCAAGTCCAGCTCTGCTGGCTC